GTGTAAAACTTGGACTTTACCATATGACTGAAGTTTAAGACAAATTTTCCATCCCTTTATATCTTAGGGAACAAGTGTTCTTTCACCAGGCCTGCATATTGGACTGCTTATCACGCTGGCCATTACAATTTATAAAAAGTCCACAACTCAGCTGTTTGAAAAACATTCTTGCCTGTATGTCTTGACATTTGGGCTTGTGAATGCCAAAATCTCACAGAAGTTGGTGGTAAGTCATTCCTAAACCTCCTAAAACTAATCTGGTTCTTGGCTAAACACTTACTGGATCAGGGGGCACAGTTTTCCCATTTTGCTTTGCTCCTGTATTAACAGATTCATTGTGCTCAATACACTCAACTAGACTCAGGGTTCCACAGAGAGATTATATGTGACACCGATGAAAACATGTATTTGTTGTTGAATGGACTGGTTAGGACTTTCAGTTTTGTTTAACTTATTCCTAGAAATGCACTTACTGTCTGTCGTTAACATGCTGACTGTGCTCTCTTAAGCCTTACTAACAGTGCTGTGACTTCTCCTTTAATTATCTGAAATAGAATTTACTGTGATCATTAAAATGAAGAGAGAAACTTTACTGTCTCTATTCTGTCTTTTTGGTCTTCGTCTTTTTTTGTACATAAAACACTCCTCAATGGAGTAAAAAAGTTGCCTTACTACATATTTCCTTACATCAGTAATCCAGCCAGATGCTTTTATTTTTTCTCCAAGGATGATATTTTTCAAACACTAGAAAATAGGTATTGTACAGACTTTCTTACTAAACAGTGAGAATAAGTGTTGCTACCTAAGGAAAGGTCTGCTTCCTAGTTAACTTTTGGCTAGGGAAAGTCAAAATTAAAAAAAAAAAATCATAGTATTTGTTTTCAGTAATACAATTGCATAGTCTTACTGTTTGAATACAGTGCTGGAAAACTAGAGTTGGGAGCCCCTGCAGATAGCTGAAATGTGTGGGTATAGATGTAACTTCCAAGAGCATACTGCTGGGCAAGAATGTGATGCCTGTTTGTGGTAGTTACACCGATATTGCAGGGATGCACTTTTTAATTTATTTTTTTTTCAAACATAGGTGGCTCACATGACAAAAAGTGAAATTTGTCTTCAGGACTCTGCATTTATTGGGCCAGGACTTCTGTTTTTGGACCAGTACTTCAACAGTTTCATTGATGAATATATTGTTCTGTGGATAGCATTGGTAAGAGTTTTATACTTTTTGTTTGGACCATGGTTTATGGAATGGATTGAGAACTGTTCCTGTCATTCTCTTCTGCCATTTCTGACTTCCTCACATTTCTGCTGTTACTGCAGAGAGAGTACTGGGTACCAAGTAAATGTTTTTGGGAGCTGACTGGCTTGCTTTCCTTGGAACAGAGAAATGAAAGTAAATTTATAAATCTCTCCTGAAATTATGCTTTAGTACATGTGGATTTTTAAAGTTGTTCTGTGAACTGCAGACAAATGTGTTTTTATCAGATCTTGTAAGCGTTTAGTGCTGTCAGGCTGCTGGGGTTTTGTGATGGTTTTATTTCTAATTCTAAACTAGACCACTCTGTAGCTGTGTGTTACAATGATTTATGTTATGATTGTCACTTGGATAAATTCTGATTAAAGTATAGCATATTTATAGTAGGGACAATTTTAAAAAATGAATTTTTTTAATCTGTTCTGTTTTGTTTTTTTGAAGTTCATATCCTTGTTTGATATGCTGAGATATGCCAGTGGTGTGTGCCTACAGATTGCTGCTCATCTTCATATACATGTCTTCAGAATTTCATCTCATCAAGCTCCTGAACAGGTTCAAAACCATAATGACTGATTAAATAGGTCAAGGACAAGAGAAGAAGCAGTTAGGGGAATGAAGCAGCCTCTGTGTTTTTGGGAAGACAGATTAAGCTTTTGAAGAAAAGTTTTATGAGAAAGTTCACTGTGTTTCAGACATTACCAGATGTTAGAATTAGTAGGTAAAAAGTTCTGCAGATGCTGTTGTACTTTTGAACCAGTGTGTATTTCCCTGTGTTTCAGATCACAAATGCCACATTTGAAAATGTTGCCATTTCCTATTAGGTAACTATAATTCTGTACTTATCTTCTGGTGAATGTAGATGCAAACCAAGGTGCTACCAGCCAGAATTCAAAGAGAAATTTCTTGTCTAATCTTGTAGCATTAGGTTCTAAAGTTTTGTTGGAACTGCTCTTTAGTGCTTGTCAGATGTACAATGAATTCAATCCTGCATTATTAACACTGGTAAAATGAGGCAGCCATGGCCTAAAAATCACTCAATCTCTCCTCTGGTACTTCTAAGGAACAAGCTGTTGGACCAGTAGATAAAGGAGGTACACCTCAGGAAAACTTCCTTCTGATTCAAAGTACTGTTACGAGTGCCTTTAGAATTCATGCATTCTCTAGTATCTAAGTACATAACCTACTGCTACCACATGAAAGAAAATGCAAGCTAAAGTTTTAAGGCCAGTTTCTGGTTCTGTGGTCATAGTAAGGTCAGTCTCATTGTATTTCATCCTTAGCTACACGACAGCTAGCTGTGTAAGGAGAGAACTAACTTTAGGCACCCTAACTTGTATCTGTAAGCCTATGCAAGTGAAGGACAAAGTTCATTGATAAACTCCAATGCCTGTAGCTCCAGCACTGCTGCCCACCCTTCTGTATTTCCCTCTCTGGTCTTTTTGCATCCCTATGTTCATTTACCTTACAACTGATCCTATTGTCTCGTAGCTACCACTGTATTTTATCCAAACAAAGGGCACAAAACTGAACCATAACGTAAAACTCTCCAGAACAGGAACTCAGGCCCAATATCTGCTTCTTCCTTTCTTTAAGAACAGACCCACTGGGTAACATAATATATCAAACAAGAGGGCTGTTGCCATTATAGAAGAGCTGAATTAAAAGTAGCTTGTTATCTGTATGAAAAATTGATTACTTGCACACAAACCCCATGCATAAGCTTAAGCTCCTTTCAAGAGGTACTACTTGAATATGGTTTATGTAAAAAGCTGTTGAATGTAAGCGTGCATTATTCCTTCCAGTTGCTGATATGTACCTGAGCTTCTGAGTTAATGAAGTCCTTCCTGAACTGTCCAATAAAGAATGCCATGGTGTGTTTTAAAAATACTACCAACTGCAGCTTCCTACCTGCTTATTAGTTCAAAAATACTTCCTGAGGCATTCAAGGAACTTTTAAAGTGGTGTATTGTCTGCTGGTCTGGAGGAAATAAAATAGCATCCATCACCCTCCTGCCTAAGAAGAATATAATGATCATTTTGAGGCTCTGTAACTGTTAACAGTTACTGCCAAAGGACTACAACTCAAAGTGACTAATATAAAATCAGAATGAATCCTGCTACTCCTGTTTGAGGCTGGAAATGACACAGCATCTGCATGTGAATTTAGCCTGAACCCCGGCCATGGTCAAATAGAAAAGAAGATGGTAATGACCATTTTACTTTGGCTGAATACTGTAAGCAAATTAACCTTCTGATGAAAAGACACAAGCAACATCTTCAAAGTGAAATGAGTGACAATAGTCAAAACTGTGTCCTGGCATAGTAGGTATAAGTAGTTTTGAGGATGTGATTGAGGTATGTGGATAATAGGAAACTAATACAGAAATCACTCAGAAAACCAGAACCATGACTCAATACCTAACAAATAAAACCAGAAGCAGGAGGTAATGCTAACAAATAACCCCCTATTGAAGATCTGAGGTAGAACCTGTCACCTATTTCATAGCCTCCTGTCACTGGCCTTAGAGGGCTGAAACTGGCTAATTACAAACCAGCATTGTTACTGGTTACCCATGAGAGGCCCATATTCTCATGTGTCAGTGTAGCAGTGAAACTCAGATGTTTGCTCCTGTCCTGAATTCTGGCAGGGGCAGAACAAGAAGTTCTATACTCGTTATAACCAAACAGCTGAAGTTACTGCAAGTTTGCCTTCACTAATCTGGCTTCCAGACCTGGAGCACCACCATCAAATGACCTGACTCAAAATGCTTGTAGACTGAGACGAAAATATGGTTTTGAAACACATTGTTGTGACAACATCACATTTGGTGTGCGTGGGTGTGTGGATGTTTATTTTATCTACTGTTGTATTAAATCAAAGCATTAAATCTGTTGGCAACTATCTAATTTTTAGAAGTAGATATTCAGGTGTAATGGTTTTCTGTAAAAACAAACTGCATGTGCACTAAGCCAACTGTTTAGTTTATACTTATTTACTGTAATGCATAAGATAAATGCTTTACCCTTAAAACTCAGGCCTCCCTAAATTGCTAGTCATTTGGAATTGCAAAAAAATAATATTCCATCTCAAAGGCTTGTAGGAGCCTGTACTAAATAAATGACGTCCGTTTCTTCTAGCAGTGGTTCTACAAAAAGTAGACCCCAAAATGCATAATGGTTAATTATCATTACTTGAGTGGATACATTAAGCTCATAATTTAACTAAAAAAGCCCAACTACTTTCTAGACAAATTACAGCAGTTTATAAATCTCATACTAATACAGCGATATTACAATGTGTAGAATAACAAAAGAGTTAACAAAATTTACTTTAATTTGCCATAATACACATCATTAAACAATTCTATCTTAGCTATGTCATACCCTGTGAATTTTTGTAACAGCTAATACATCAGCAGTCTAATTGAAACTGTGACAACGTGCAGCTTGTTAGAAATGCTTCTATTTGCACAATGTACCTAAAGGCCTCAAGTTACTATGTAGAATCTAGGTAATGCACGTTTCATTAATTATTCCCCTTGTTATAATTTCCTATAAAAAAGTGAAACTATTTAAACAGTCCAATGCTATTGGAAGTGGATATGAAATTTTCAAAAATCAACTGAACAGTCAGTGAACAGTTTGGGGTCCATACTGCCCCCCAGTAATAAAAGTTTACTAAGATATGTTCTTACAACATGAACAGACAAGATTAGAACAATTCAGGAAAGAGTTTAATAGGAACCTTGAAACATTTAAATCTCAACATCCTTCTAATGCCTGTACTTGTATCGTGTTACTTAGGTACATGTTGCTCCTCCACTGAGCCATCAGAATAACATGGACTGAAGAGACTTGCGAACAGTTGCCATCTCCTGCTGTTGCTGTCACAAGAAAAGGAGATAATGCTGAACAAATGCTGTATCAATATGATTCCTTTGAATTAAATGAATGTCAAATGACTTGAATGTTCTATTTTTGCATTTAACTAACTTCACAGATCTGATACTTACAGTGTCCATCATAATCTTCTTCTGCAACATCGCCATTTCCTTGCGAAGTTCATTTTGGGCACCAGCCAGAAGATTTTCATTGCTCTTCTCCAGCTCTTCCATGCTCTGAAGTTAAGGATAATATTGGTTCAGAACTCCTCAATGTCAAGCAGTTAATTTAAAACAACCAAACAAACCAATAATTATTCATACTACAGTTTAATTTTTACAGTGATCAAAGATAATTGATGAGTTTATCACAAACGTGGCAGAGGAATCATACAGGACTTCATACTCCAGTCTACATTCCTGTTTAAACAGTGTGTACCCTGGGAAGAAGATAGAGCCCTCCAGTCAGCCTCTGTGAGGTCTCAGCTACTTTTTCTGCATTTCAGTTCTACAAGAGGAGATTGAACAGACATGTGTCAGGAATTCTAGGGGTTCAATATTATGACAACCCTGCTGGACTTGAAGTGAGGAGTATAAACCCCACTGCATTTCTTTGCACACTTCTGCCCAAATAAGCCAAATAAAACTCCCTGGTTATCTGGTAATTACACTTACGTCTGTGTATGTGTCTAGTTGCATTTTCCTTAATTTGTATTTATTTAAGCTTGTTTGAGGTTTAACTTCTACCTTTTGATCTTTTTTGAGGAGAAAAATCAAAGTAATACTTGACCTTCTGTTAAGTTTTTCCTCTTTGATGAAGACATTTTTGACATTTTGGAACAGTTATTATTTATTAATGCTTCTGTAATATACTCAGTAAATTCTGACTATTTTAAACTAAGAGTTGCTCCATTTCAGATTTATTCTTATCAAGTACCAAACTTGGAAAAAAAACCAAACCAAACACCAAGCTTATCATAACTGAAATTTCAAAACCAGCTAGGAAATGACTTGAACTGAAAATAAGGTTTGTCAGAAATTGATGGACTTGAATCTGCCCTGTATACTGGGGGCTATGCAGCTGGTGAAGCCACACCTGGAGTGCTGGGTCCAGTTCAGACTCCTGAGGACACGACAGACATGGACGTACAGGATAGGTTCCAGCAAAGGGTCATGAAAATGATTAAGGAACAGATTTTCTCTTGTGAGGAATGCCTTTAACTAAAAAAGTAAATTTCTTGTGTGGTTGTACTCAAAACAGTTTTTTTGGTTGCTGTCTAGTATGTTAGTTACTTTGTTAAAGAAATACCTAACAACTTGAAACACAGAATTAATATAGCTTTCTTAAGTGATATGATAAGGATCAGCTGCTTTCCAAGAAAAAGATTTACCTTTAAGAATTGCTCATAGAGTTGTTTAATGGTTTTCAGTCTCTGACTTTGAACTATTCTTGCCTGTTGAAAAACCTTTTGTTGCTGACGAAGCATATTCTGAAGCAGAAGCAAAAGAAAAACATAATTCCATCAGTTGTTAAGCAGAGTGCTTGGACAGCACACCAGTTTCATTTTTCAGAATCAGAAAATCTGCCTTTATTGGAAATCTGTGCCTTGTAAGGTGAATCTCTGCCTGGAGAAGTTACCCTGGCTTTTATTAGTGAAAGTAAGATTGAAGACTGGATTAAGCTCCAAGTCACCTCCTGAGGTCTCTTACAGCCTGAATTATCCCTGTAAAATCCCATGAGGAGTGCTATGCCCCACAGCTTCTTAGGGTATCCCAGAGGAATGTGCTACCTAGGGAAAAGCAAACCTTGCAAATGTGTTGGAAGCACAGAGCAACAGCACATGTTTACATTCCATTGTGTAGCTCCTATCCTCTTTCAGTGATCAAATTCTCTTACATTTATTATGTACAGGCATATTTTTAAGGAATGTATGCTAAAAAACAACTACTTTCCTTTATTCCCTGAACACAAAGACTACGGATGGAGAGAAACAGCACATGTCTTTCTTCTCCTTAAATGGTCTTTGCTTTTCTCAAGCCATATGTGCTGGCCTAAGGCATCACTTCACAGTGTTTATAAACTTGTAATAAAGTTTATAAATGCACCTCTCTTCCTAAACTTAAACAACCACATATTTACGTTTAAACTACATAAAGTGTTTCTACATTTCTTGAGTATCAAAACAACAATATTCCTTCCTTGTGGGAAATGCAGTGTAACTCACACCATGCTGGAAACTCACAGCTAGTTTTTCTTCCTGCTCCTCTGCCTTTTGCACATCTACATCCCACTGCTGAAATAAAGTCAGGAACTGCTGGGAGAACTCGTGATTGAGCTTCTGCCTATAAACAGACACTGTCTGTAAGTATGACAAATGCTACAGGGAATTACAAGGAAAGCTAAGGTTCAACATACACATGGACTAGAATAAAAGCTGGCATAGATAAAGAAATAGGCTACTTTGACATCTGGCCCCATTTAAATACTGTATGTTTAAAAACTGAACACACACATACACTGAGTGGATGTGGAATGTCTCTATAGAGAGACAGCACTCCCATAAAATACTCATTAAAAAGAAATTCTAAAAACTCTTCTTCCTAACAGTGTCAGGTTTTCTGAGATTTACCATGTTTTTCTAATTCAAATACAGGTGGCTGCTTAAACACAAGGTGTTTACATTACAAAACTGATAAGCTCATTTCTTAAAATTTCGTCCATACAAGTTTCAAATACAAATAAATGTAGAACAAATCCAAGACAGTTACAACTATTGCTGACTTTTAGTTTTTAGCTCTTTTTTCACTTTGCTCTCTGGTATCAGATGTAGTAATTAAATATGCCTTAAGAGGTGCGAGGAATGTTAAGAAGGTGAAAATTATTTACTATCTTAACCAGAATGATATTAAAGTTTTACTGAACATTTTTCAGTTTTCAGGTAGAAACAGAAAATTCAAAAGTGAGAAAAAAAAAACCCCACATTGTTTTAAAATACATAATAACATCAAAGGTTACTTTCCATAAAGATAAAAGTAAGCCCCACTCTTTAATGTACCTTGCTCTCAGAGTTCCAAATCATAGATCTGTCTGTTCAATAGAGACTGTGCTAAACTTACTGTCAGATGAACACAGTGGACACAACGGAAGGCAGCAGAGGCCCTGGGCAGTTTAACATCAGATACAGTCCTTGCTATTGCAAGGTGACAGACCAGCCATCCATCGTGTGACCCAGAAGGGAATCTAGTTCCACAGGCTTGAAAACCAAGAGTAAAGGTCACCTTTGCTCCTGCTGCGTTTTCCAAACATGTTCAATCTTCTGGTTACTGGTTTTGAGCGAGGCTTTTGTGTACATTTCTAATCTTTTCCTCTTAGCTAAGAGAGCCTTGTTAATGTCAGCTGAAAGCCAAAGAATATTCAGAAATTAGGCATGCTGGATATGCATTAAAAAGGCTGATGTGTTACACTTGGAAGTGTGTTCTAGCAACAAGAAGCTGCTGTGATCTGGCCTGATGTGGTGATGTCCCTCAGCCTGCTGGTGGCACTGGTGTGAACGCTGCTTCCTTATGCCTGTCACACTCTCTAACCAACACCTGTTTCACAGTCATATGCAAATTTCTTGAATTTCAGAAATAAATTAAGGTTAGTATGTGGTTACTATTCCTGTGAACATACTGAATGAATGAATAACTATTTTTATACTTCAGAGAGACAGTACTTTTTCAGTATTAATATAAGTTACTGTGTTTGTTTCCGTTCAATTTACATTTGGAGATTTATCAAGTCACAGCCTAAGATTAATACAGTAATTTATTTCCTTTCTCACTGTAGATTTCAGGAAACATCTGTCAAACTTCTCTAATCTGCTGAGGCATCTGTCTCTGCTAATGCCAAACCCACTATTTTGTGCAGACAGCATCCTCTCTCTGATCCATTCATTCTCCCTCCTTCCATCCTCCCCTCCTTTCCTTTTTTGAGTCTTAAATTACAGACAATCATAACTTTTTAGCATTGAAATCCTGCTTTAATCTGAATTGCCAGATCTCTAATAACATTCTAATATATAATGCAAAATATGTAATTTTGTGACAGCCAAAAGTCCTAATTTGTGGATTAAAGAGTTACTCAAGCTTCTCTTTCACCTTAAATTTGACATGCAAGTAATGACTCTGTACAGGTTTCTTTTATTACATACAATGAAAGTATTATTCAGTTATTGAGTGTGTAATGCTGGCATTAAGATGGTTTCCCTTCCTTCCACGGCTTTTTGATGTTTGCTTACTCTGTGAAGGGTATTGTTCATTCTTTACAAATGTTAAAACTATTTTTTCTCTATCCTGTCACTATGTAGAATTCAGCTGGTAATTGAACTAGGTAAAGCCACCTGAGGATCTGATAATGACTGTAATAAATCCTGCTGAGTGACACACACAAATTGCTCATTACTGGATGACAGGCATTACTGACCCTCGTTATCTGGCTGTTCTGGAAACTCATATTCCTTCTGACTGCTGAAATTCTCTGACCTGCTGATTCCCTGTTCTCTAGATTTCTGGAAGTGCTAAGTACAGACTGCTCTCTCATTCTGTATCACAAACTCTACTTCCAAAATTGCTTGTCTAGAATTAGAACTGTTTGTTCTCTTTTGCTGCTTATATTAACATTTATATTTCCCTTATTTCTCACTCGAGTCTTGCCATCTCCAGTATCCTCTACGCCAGTGTAACAAAAAATTGAGTGAGAACAACAGCAAACTGCTATTGTCCCTTTTCTCTACAATATATTTACTAGCTCTTAAACTTCATCTTAAAATTGATTATCCAAAGCACTCATGCATCTTTCCCTTTGCAATTATCTACACTTACAAGCTGTGACTCATTTATATGCAGATATTCCCTCCTCTTCTTTCCCTTTGCTCTCCTTAGATATAACTCTTCTTTTTTCCTGAAAACTGGCTTTATTCAGAAATGCTGAAAAGTGCTACAGAGACTAGTCATGTTACATAAGTCTTGAAAGTTATTTTAATGGTGAGTTATTACTGCCAACTCTGCAACTATTTTTATTAGAATGTAAATGTACTTACCTCCAAATCTCTCCAACATATTCTGTACTTCACCCCTACAAAACAGTGGTTTAGATTTTTATTTGCCCATTTTCTGACTTCAGACCTGTTGAATATGCTTAGAACTAATTTTATACACATGCCTATTACTTCTAAGCAGTAACAGAACTGCCACTGCCATAAGATAATTTTACTCCTTTTCTTCTCCTGTGAGAGGTTTCTTTTTCAGATTAATTTGCCTTTTTTATTTTTAATAAAATGCTAGAATCTTAGCTAGTCCCCAGTAAAGAAGCACTGTTATATAAAGAGGCATTTATCGTGCCTTGAATAAGGGGAGTCAGTAAGTAAAACTGATTATTCCCTATGACAAAGAAAACAAAATGGGTATTTGGAACAGCAAATGAAAATAAGTCCTTCTCAGTCAGCATAACTGGCACAGTAAAAAATCCCATGGCAAATAATTTCAGGGCTGATTTTACAGCATCTTTAAGATGGTAACGCCAGTGTGTAAGGCAGTGTTACAATACAGTAAAAAGATACAATACAGTATCTTCAACCTAACAGTTATAATCTGCTTGAACACTCTTTTAGCATGTACTTTTTTATTCCATTTACACTGTCCATGAATATTACATTTTATTAATATTTATTCACTGCCCATGAATACTAAATTAAGATTTATCTGTAAAATAATTTCTTTTTCATGCAATATGTGGATCGTTTAAAGTATTGGTAATATCTTCAAGGAACTAAAATGAGAAGAAAAAAATTAATAGGATTTAATGACATTATCAACAATTTAGGATAAAACAAGTAATATTTTAAAATAAACAAATTTTAAGAACACACAAATATGTTAATTGTTTTCTGCATGTTCAAAAGAAACTACAAAGAAATGGAAGAATTACTGTTTTAAAATGCTTTGTTTTAAATTATTTTTTTACCTACAACTACTGTATTATCTGTCACTTGCTTTTTTTAATCAAATACTAAAAAACCCCAAACCAAACCCAAACAAGGCACAAATAAGCACAGTGAATAACTGAAATTGGTCTCTATTTAAGACCTGCTTATTTTGGAAAAAGCCCCCAAACATCTAACCTTACCCCACATCATCTGGAACCACATGAGCAGTCACCAGAGGTCTTTTCTTTCCATGCTTGTCCATTACTGGTATGTCACCTTAAGAAGGAGTATAGAAATATTTACAAAAATACATTTTGTGTTGGTGGTTTGAGTTAGTACAAGTGTAATTACTTTTCTGTAATGCCATTTCCCTGGCCATGTCTCATGGTCAGTTCCCATCAGTAACACAGGCAGCTCCTAACTCTGAGTCTGGAGCTGAAGGATGGTGGTGAATTGCTCTGCAAGGCCAGACTGGAGCTGGCACCACTTTGAGTTTGGTCCCAAACAGTTTTACTTTCTCTGCCCACCACTACACCATTACTCACAGCTCACAATACAGCAATCATCAGAAAGCTAAAAATAACATAAAAATTTATAAAAGTCCAATCTGAATTTACTGTAAAAAAAGTATTGTAATTCTGCATCTTTAAAAAGAAAAATCACAAATAGATATTTATATTCTTTTGAAAATTACCAATCAAAATTACACAGTAGGAGCCTGGTGGTCTTTGGCATTACAAACCACGCTGTGCTCAGTCCCTGGCTGACTCACAAGTTCTTCCCTTCTTTTCATAGTCACAAATGTGATAAAATTCACATTTTACAAATGTCCTAAAAATTTCATATAAGCACCTTCTCTAATATCTTCCTCTGATCCACTCAGTTCTTTTCTTTCCTCCTCAAAGTCAAAAGTAGATATGGTCTGATCTTCCTGTGCTGGTTTACCAGCTTTTCCTCCATGCTTTCTTCCTGATGGTGCCATGGTGAGATCTTTTCCTACTGAAAAACAGTATATTGTATTTGTGACATAACTTCCTCCACAATAAATTGAAAATAAATACGTTTCCATGCTTACCTGCACCTATTATGGGTATCTCTTTAACAGTCTGCACCTGTAAAGATATGCAAGCAGTCAAAGTGGCTTAGTTTTGAGGTATCCCACAGCATTACCCATCAGTGATGCTTTAAAAAACATGTTAAAAAATGCCAGGACTACTAGGAACATACTTGATTCTGCTGGAAAAAAAAAAAATATATATATATAAAGTACCCATTTTCTTAAGATGTCTGCCATTAAGGTTTATTACACATTTTGTCATATCCAGTACTGCATTCCCCAAAAGCTATGCCAATATTTTACTGTCCAAAACAGAGAAATGATAAGCCATAGAGAACAATGTAATCCTACAAGCCATCCCACATGTAAAGTCAAATATACATATGCTTATACCATTTTTTAAAGTCCTGAGCAACTTCCAGGTTCCAATTTAGCTTTCTTTGTAGCTATTACACCTCTGCATTCTATAATGTAGGTAATGCTATTTCTACACTGGCAAACATTTTACACATAGACTACCCTCTTAAAAAAATTATTCATTTATTTACTTTCGAAAACCTCTTGTTCTAGACACAATCCAACACTGCCAGAAATATCAGTAGGTTTTCCACAAGCCAGGGCAGGGACAGACCTAAAAATTAAGTTCACACATGGAAATTGAGAACTCCATTAACAATCTTTTGAATTTCAAGGACTGTGAGGTCCCCCCAACATTATCAACTCTCTCACACACCTCAGTTTCCTATTTCTGTTTTTGTTGGATTTTTTATTTTTAGTTATTTGTCAATCGCTGTGAAAATGGTTTTTTTTAATTGCAAATTCCATGGACCTGTACAAACACGGCCACACTATGCTAAGGAAAGAGTACATTTTAATACCGAGCTTTTTCTGAGGTTGCTGCTTCTCTACGTAGCATGTAGAATTTTAGATTTTACAAGTGTCTTGAAAAACAAGTGTCTTTATTGACTGGAAAATCAAAAGCCTTTGCATTAGCATTATCCTGAAATGAGAGAAAATTGTCAAGACTTAATCTGCTTCTCAGCTGCTGACTGTTGAGTACGTGATGTAAAGCAGGAGAGTGATGGTCCATAATGTCTAGCTGTGCCTGTCAAGGCACTTTAACTTTGAACTGCAAGCATCTGTTTTATCTGACATACTGACACTTTTCTTTGTATTAGAAATCAGTTTACAAAGTAGAACTTCTCAGTCCCCCTCAGCCAGGTGTAAAACAATCCTGCCACCTCACAAGCCCAAGCAGCCCCCACCCATCCCGTGTAGGTACCTGTGTTAGCCCATCTGAGTGTCTTCAATCCACAGCTGAGTATTTTAACAGTGGTTTTTAGAGAAACTCACCTCTTTTTTTTTCCACCCCGCCCCAAAAAGACATCAAACAAACCGGTGCTTGTGTGAATTTCGAGTGAGGGGCTTTTCACCGCGGGGACCCACCTTAGAGCAGCAAGGGAGACTGGGGCCCTCAGCTGCAGCCCGAGGGGACGCACAGGCGGCAGGGACAGCGCTGCTCGCACGTCCCGTCGCAGCGGAGGGAACCCCAAAGCCCCGTGGCCCCTGGCAGCCCTCACGCCGCCGCCGCCTCAGCGCCTCCCGCCGCCGGGAAAGGGCGGGAACGGGAACGGCAGCGGCAGAGCCGCGGCGCTGCCGCCCTCAGGAGCGGGGCCGGGCACGGCCTGCGGATCCTCCCGCTGCTCGACAGCTTCATCCCGCTTTGAGAACGGAGCCGTGCTTCAAATAACTATCGAATCATTAAAGTGCAAGGTTTTTATCGGAAAAAAATAAGAAGTTTTGACGTAAAGATTCATACAGATTCCTGGCTAATTTACCAAGATGTGTGCGCTTTGGTTGACTTTGAAACAGAAACGGCAGACAAAACTTTCATCACGTTTTAGTTAATTTCAAAGCAAGCCAAGTATTTTACAATACATATGCACATACATTTTGTACATCATTCGATTACAAAAATTAATGCTTTTTGAATACTGCTAATACAATTAAGTAAAGATACACGACCAAAAATTTCTGCTTGAAAAGATTCAGTACCCTTTCCCACTTAAAACCACAGTACTCCAGTATCTCGGCAACATACAGGGCCAAACCCTGTGAAATTTAAAAACACCACAGCTCTGTATGTCAGTACAAATATTGTTTTATGAAGTGAAACACTGCTCCCCATACATTTCTACTTTGAAACAGTTTGTTACCCATTCATATAGAGGCACTTTTGCTTTTTGATTTACAATGCTTGTAAAATATTTTACCTTGATCATTTTCCTTTGATTACAACCTCTCTTTGTAATCAAGTCAAGAAATAACACCATTTCTTTGTGTATTCTTTGGACCATAATACACCAGATATAAAACATCTTTCAAACAAACCATTAGATGTTGTTAGTGTGTAATTTTTTAGTAGCATACCTTTCTTTCAAATCCCAATTATATACTACAAATAGGGAGATGAATTGTCACTGTGCTTTAAAGAATGTCAGCAACTATAAATGTATTCTAAATTTAAATGACAAGTTACATAATTCTCAATTTTCCCCAGAAGGCTAAAAAAAGCAGCAATGACAGAGATTTGCAAAATGCTTTGGAATGCAAGATCAAGGACTTCTTAGGCTGATCCCAAACAACTTTTCCAACATTTTATCTAGTTGGCAACATCCACTGCAATAAATGCAGTTACATTTATTTAGGTAACCCTTTTTATAAAAAAGGATAACATGGCCATGAACTAAGAGTTGTAAAGTAAGATCTGTTGAAAACTGCCTATGTACAGGTGTCCTGCAATTATTTATTGTTATTTTGCATTGTCACAGCTCCAGCAGCTTTTATACCATGAAGAGTACTGCAGAGATTCGAATGTAGGTGCATGATTTTTTTTCTTCATATCAACATAGTTAAACAGCAAACCAGAAAAGACACTTATGAAAGAGACATTTAAAATGCTTAATCACAGCTTGAGGTAGACTGATCTCCAAAATAAAGCTCTTCTACACTTTGATTCGTTCATGACCAACTTCTTTTTGGATCCTTCTCCTTGGAAAAATCTTTCGTTTAAGTGCAATTAGCTGAGGAGAGAAAAAAATACAATATGTATTTTATGCTGGGCTAAAGGTCCACAGCTGGTCAGCTTTTCATCCTAGACACTATCAAATCTGTACCACCCATGGTAAATACTCAGTACTGTACTTGTTTTTTCTGATTATACCAGAAAGGCATTTTTTTACTCCAATTCATCTATAAGATGTGCACATTTCCACTAGGCTTCTCAATAATCAGAATACAAGCAGAAAGTGAAAAAATACACCATGCCTTTATTCTGATTATTTTAAAGGTAATTTGTGTATCTAAATTATCACCGGGCTACATTCTATTTTTAAAAGATCAGCACAAAGCTGGCATCTTAAAATGGTATTTAGATTCCTAACTGTACCACTGACTTGAGTATCACCTTCCAAAACCAAGTTACTAATGGAGTTTTCTAATACATAAAAAAGGCTGAAAATCAAGGGAAAGAGTCATGCAAAAGTTACAGGTGGGAAAAAAATAATAATCAAAAGCCAACCTTTCAAGAATTACACCCTCTTCATCAGACCACGGAAAGTGTTACTTAAGGCCCCAACCTGCAAAGAATTACCCATATGATTTGTTCCATTGACTCCCTCTGAGTTTAGCAGGACTAATCATGTTCAAGAAAGCCATTTTAAGCTTGCAGAAGTCAAGGGGTTTTTTTCCCTTTAGTCAGATTCAAAACCTTTTGAATTCAGTAGGAATCTTTGCAATCAATTACTTAGGGAAGAGATTCTGATAAGGCCTTTAAGTAACTTAAGATCCCCTTCTGGACTAATTTTTCTTCCTCTTAACTTATACACTTCTACCAATATCTGTGTTAACTGACCAAGAATTTCAAAAACAATTACTGAATTTGAGCATCCAAATTTAGCACACTGGTGATAGACTTTACTGTCACAAGGCACCTCAGAAGGTGCCACTCTCCTTCTCCCCATATGACTCTCTTTTCAAGGAATCTCAACATGGTGACTTAAATTAAAGCAACCTATTCATGAGTCATGTACCATCGTTACTTCTTTTATAAAGGGAAAATCCTATCTACTCTTCAAAACCTATTTAAAAATCCATCCCATGTTATCCTGAAGATTCCACAATCTGTTAAGTGTTATACATATTTGATAACAACAAATTAACTTTACCTGTTCAGCAAAAAATGAGATGACTGTAAATAGAATAAGTGTTATTAGAACACAGTGGGTCCAGAATTTGAGCTTGTCTCTATATGCCCTCCTGGACAAAGAAAGAAGGAAACAGAAAAACAGCTTCATATATCATAAATGCAAATATTTAAAGAGTTTCCACAATACATGCAAAGAAAGTTTTTTCCAGTTTTTAAAGGGTTACTAAAAAGAGGATGTAGGCTCTCTCCTCACAAAGAGCCACATAGAGAGGACAAGCTACAAGCTGGACTGGGAGAGGTTTTATCTTGATATAAGGAAATCTTCTTTACAGTCAAAACAATCATTTTTGCAGCAGTTTCCCCAGAGACAGGGTAGAGTCTGCACCACTGGAAGCTTCCAAGATATGACTGCTTGGGGTTCTAGATCATGGGGTCTTTTAGGTTAGAAAAGACCTCAAAGATTGAGTCCAATGTTAAGATAACACTGCCAAGTCCAGGCCTAAACTACATCCCCAAGTGCCACATCTACTTGTGGCAACTGTGGATTTGCAGTCACACTTTATCCTTTTTGACCCAACTGCAATTCCCTCACATGCTACAGTAGCCAGGACACTTGAGAGCTGGCAGGAGACAGTCTCATCAAAAGTACCTATTCCCATGAAATGTTGGACCAGATGATCTTTCGAGGTCCCTGCCAACCTAGGCTGTCCTGTGATTCTGAAAACACTTTGATTTCCACCAGCATTTGAACCTGCCTTAACACACCCTGCTAGAATCATCTTTGGCTATAAACAAGACAAAATAAATATCTTTTTGAAACTACAAAAAGACTTGATGGAGGGTCTCTAAAGGGAGCCAACACTGTTTCCTCCTCCAGCACAAATTTTAAAGCTAAAGGGCCCCTGCTCCCTCTGCCATTAATACAGCTGGTCTTGTAGCACTACAGTCACGCCTACAATCCTTCTGATTCCTTCTGGAGTTCCTCCAATGCTTTCTATTTTCTTTTTAACAGCTATTTCTCACGATTTGCTGATCAGCAACAGGTTTACTTATATTAGTCTTGTGTCATTTTTGTCACTGTATCTGTCAATGTTTTGCTTGTCTTCTCAAGTCAACTACTCCAATTTCTTCAGTTGTTATTTATGAAATGGCAAGCGATAAACACACACAAAAATTTCACATATTATACAAAAATGATACACACATATTTCGTTTCTGATTTTTATCCAGATGGTTATTGCTATGTGACAGATTGAAAAAAATCACTTAGTCAGAAATGCAATAGTGGTTTGGGTTTTTTTTTTTTTTAAGTTTAAAGAAAGCTAGAATTCCTATTTTATTTAAAAAAAAAAAAAACCACAAAAAACAAAGGAACAAACCAACAGCTTTTGTTTGCAGTAGGTTAGGAACAATTGATAAAATATTGATGACTATTTAAGCACTGGAAAAACCCAAATCCTGCAGGCCTCATATTTTATTCCATACAAATCTCACCACACTATTTTCACTGTTAACACTTTCATGACAATACTGGGGGAAAACCAGTTTGTTAGTAGCATCTTAGGTAATTATATATTACTGCACTACAGTAACTTGAAAAGAACTTATGGAACATACCATTCTTGGAGTTCATGCATGTGAAGGAAACGATTCCGATATTCTCTTGGCAGTTCAAACTGGGAAGGGATGGGAAACATCGACTCATAAAAATCTCTAAGCACTGCTTTTACTGTTTGTGCATCCTTATGACTGTGATCAATATTGTCATTTAGGCAAACAAATTTTCTAGGAAACAAGATGACATTGTTAGAATATTTCTTTGATAGTATGGGAAAGGTATTACCAAACCAATAACACAAACAATCCTTTAAAACAAAATTGAAACCATACCATTTTAAAAACAAACAGACATATTTTTTATTGTTGCATTATTTAAAATTAATTTAATTCTAAGAGCAGGAGGACTGACAGCAAGTCAAAACCTCAGCAGAACCCAGTGACAGGCCACATTTCTAGTTAGGTAATGCTGCCATCTAATGGGCACTAGAGTGTGCACCATCCCAGAGCCATTGAACACAGCATTACCATCTGGGTAAGGATTTTTATACTTTTGAATTATCTCGAGTAAAGTCTCTTAAATAACAAAGTGAGCTTCATTGTAGGAGGAAAACATACTAAATTATTAATATTTTAGTGTGAATGCTGAATTCTTTAGAGAAAATCAATATAACTATATTAGATTGTATAAGAGAGGGCAAAGCTTGGTCCCTAAGCTTTGGTTTACTGAGAACATTATATAAATTGGTCTGTCAAATCATAGACCCAAAGCTAGACTTGTATGACCAACCAAAATACAAAAAACCAATAATTTGGATAGAATTTACATGGAAATCACTGTGATCAAATAAGCACGCTCCCAATAATGTCTCCTGCAGACAGCTATTTCTCATGTAAAAAACATGGAACTAAATTACTGCAAATAATTGAAACTAAAGCAGCAGCTAGTGTGCTAGACTGCTATGTACTCTTGGCCACTCTGATCTGGTGCTTGACAACAAAAA